TACTAATAAAAAAAAAGTTGTGTTGTGTTGTGAGCGGGATTTGAACCCCGTTCCCCCGAGCACAAAATAATATCAGGACCTAGCACCTTGGCCTCTGAGCCATGCAGACATTTTTTTTTTCGTGGCAGAATGCTTTTCTGAGTTAGAGAAAATACAATACAAAATTTTGTAGCAAAATTTGATATGAGATCATAACAATCTTGTATGAAAAATACCTTATTAATATGTTCGAAAATACCAATTTGGTATGTTCGAAAATATCATTTTGGTATGACCACATATGGGACCAAAATTGATATGAAAAAATACCCGAATGATGACCAGTTTTGGTATTTTTTTTTCTCTGTGAAGGAAATGTCTTATCTGATGTTCATGATTGATCACCAAGATACAAAACAAACAATCGGTTGTCGAGTGTAATCAGGGCATTGTCGTTAGCTTGGTTGGTGGGTCATAGTCGTCATCCATTGCATATCGTGATGTTTGCACTTAGTATATGTATGTTGAAAACTGCTTTTTATTATCGTGCATTCGGTGTTGTTGGTGCGAGTATTGCTTTAGCGTGGTTCGTTATTATGACGTATTGTCTTTTGTATTGTGCCGACCGACCAACTACAACAGCCGACATAAAAAACTTGCTGCCGCTGCGGTTATGTTTTCGCATCTGTTAAACGAACACAAAGGCTCTCGCTGCCACTTTATCCAACTGAATCTGCAACTTGCACAGAGAACATTTACAGAGAACACAAATCTAAATTGATGTCTTCATTTAAGAATGCCAAATATAATAAATTAGTTCAACAGGGCGTATTTCCAGATGGAAATGTTGGAAAAGATTTGACAATATTTGATTATGTCATTTATTATCTGATAGCATCTCAGAATAAACTTATTCTTTCTGTGTACTTGACTCTCCAGTCTGGAAACTTGGGCGTGGAAGTGAACAGACGATGCAGATTGAGCTTGCCGCAATGAATATTGATGCTGATGCAGAAAGACAGCAAAAACGGAGGGGGAGCTTAAAGATATAAGCGATATGAGCAGCATAATTATAAAACTGCCCGATCCGGCCTGCTTAGTAGGCGAAAAATGTTGCCGATGCGATAAGCAATCCAGAGATACACACACACTTTCCACTTAATACTCCTAGACACTTAATGCCCTTTGTTTGCTCAAGTGATGCGTAATTCTCTTAGCAGACTAACATAAACTTATTTCTTTATGACCTAATGTAAATGATTCATTAACAACGGCGACCACATCAATTGATCTACATATTGTTATTTTTATAGGCCCATTCACCCGATAGCATTGCATGTAAAAATGACCAACATTTATCTTTCGGTTATAAGAATGTTTGTAAAATGTGGACTTCAATGAGGCATCCGTTTGTTGATAGCGGAAGGCAATCCAGGGTCTCAAATTGCTTAGATTTTTAAAATACCTTCTTTTTTTAAGCCTCATTTTTGTTTTTAAAGCAATTTTGTTTAAAATATTACTGGGAATTGTGTTGTGTTTACTCGCCCTGTTTATATGTAAATGAAAGGCTTTCTATTTGTAAAAATAATATTCTTTGGTGATATACTTTTTTTATAAATAAGTAAATTACAACTTTTTTATTAAATTGTAAATCATTTTTATTTGCAATATTTGTAATTATATTTTTCTTTATTCCCACCGTATACTCTTGAACTGAAAAATAATGATCTTAATAAAATGTGGTTTCTAATTATTTGCAAAAGCCTTGTAAACCAAATTTCCGTACTTCCCTTTTTATTGCCCTGAAAAGCCTTTGAATAATACAGTATTTATAAGCTATCAGTCAGCTGAATTCCACAAAGTATATTATGCATTTGTTCATTAATGTAAGCCATTGAAGTATGCATATGTATATGCATTGCAAGGAAACTCAATTATCTTGTGTATGATATTTCACTTATCACTTACACAGACCTCGACAGTCGGCATAATTCACTCACTTGACTTACTCACTCCGCTGCGAGCCACTGAAACCGCGGCGGAGATGGAGATCTCCTCTCGAAAGTGTCACAAAAGAGTTGAGTTTGTTTTGTGGGAATATCGAGAAACTGGTTTCTCTGTAGGGCAGAGCATCGCATCTTCCGAGACTTCTCATACGTAACGAAAACAAATCGCATATATCTGCCGACACACATATAATATTGTGATAAAACACTGTTACAAAAGCAAATCAAATGCGGCAAAGCACAAACAAAACGGAGAAAAAAGAGGCGAATAAAAAATTGTCCGACATATTTCATTTTTATGAATGAAGACAAAAAATCAGCCAACGGCAGGGCAAATAAACAACGTTAACAATAAATGAAAATGATTCATCTAAATAATATGACGGGTTTGTCTGACTGTCAATGAACAATACGCAGAAGCTACGCATGGCAAATACTAAATTTAAAAAAATCGGAAACTATTTAGCACTCTTTCGTGGAAATGTGTATATGCTAATGCTTTTGCCGGTTTTTTATTGTCTTTATTTGTGCCTCATTTTGTTTGGCCTATTGATTATGTAAATGAGTGGAATAAAAACGGACTGATACGGCGCATGCGCAACGCAATTATATAAGGTAATCCACAGACCCTAATGGACCGTCGATTCCAAACGCGTCCATCAATCACGAAGAAAAAGCAAAATAGGTAAAAATCATCAAATGATAAAGTAAACAATAAACCACAATTACTCATAGCATTAAGGTACTTTTTGTAGGGTTCGGAAATACAGTTTGGTTCAATGATATTGCTTATCTCTCCAATATCAACAGACGTAAACACTTGTTCCGCTTTCGGTCGCTGAGGTTTCTGCGGTTTGTGTTTATATGTTTTTTTAACAGCATTCCACGTAATTAATGTAATTAATAAACGATTTGTACGCATTCCGCTTTATGGGCGTTTCCCGCCGCCAAAACAAGCAAAAACTAAATGACTAGTAATTGATAATCGTCGTTATCAGGCGATTTTTGGCCAAGAGTTCGAGGTGATCATTAGCTTTGCTCGACTATCATTTTGGCCTCCGAGGAGTTCAAATGTTCACAGTGAAGGAGCCGCAACATGTGTAGTTTAAATTTGTATAGATAAGATAAGAGTTCCTCCTTTTTTATTTTGGGATAACTTTAGCGGCACGTTCTTCCACTTTTTATTTACAATGCAATGGTTGGTTGTTTGATTAGTGGTCGTTCGGAAAGGGTTTACCATAGTGTTTGTTTGGCTTGGGTTGGGTCTAGTGGCATTGCTTCGGTTGTTCACATCGCATTATTGACTCGCTTGTAGTTTTGAGTAAACAAATTGGGAGATATCAATAAACTAATGAACCTGGGAACTCGGCGAAACCTTGACCAGCGATAACCCTAGAAAGGTTCAGATGCTACTTTTAATAGGAGTGTCTTCGATAAGGAAATTTAATTGGAGAATGGGTTATTAACAAAGTTGTAAAAACTCGATCATTCACATTGATTTTCTGCAATTTAGTTATATATTAATATGAGATAAGTAAATGAAATTAGGATTTAAAAGGTTAAAGATAAAAATATTAAACCCATATTGGCCATATATTTTTGTTCTTTGACTCTTTTTTTATTACCTAAAACACCATTAAGCATTCCAAGAAATTTGTGCTCATCTTGGTCTCAGTTTTCTCCAACATGTTATAGATTAATGTCTTGTGTGGGTAATTTACGGCCTTTAAGGTTCCCACCTCTCACTTTACCACTTTGAATTTCTCCATTTGTGACAGTTCATGCGGGTTCCATCATCGTATAAATTGTGTTGGCTTATTTCTTCATTTCAATTAACCGAGACCTGAGACTGCCCAATATTTTCCATTTATTTTTGAAAACCCTATCGTTGCACTCCCTTTTCGAACAGAGATATTCATTCTAAATGCAACACTTATCGGGCTAAGCTGTCGTTTCTCTCGTTAGTCTGTTTTTCTTTCTTCGCGGGCAATTCACACCACATTTGAAAATGAAAATAGAGCCAGACAGCCATCGCATTATAGTATAGTTCATTGTCAAGCGACTTTAGCCCCCACTTCGCCGTCTCCCCCTGCATTTGTTGTTGGATCTCGAAGTTTTCACTTTTTAAGCGCCAGCTTCGGAGAGATGTTGCGCGGAGAGTGTTGCTTTTAAAGCATTAATTGATTGAGTTGAGTTTTATTTTTCCTTTTTTTTTTGTATAGCCTGCCTTGCTTGGCTTGTCTTGTAGTGTTGGCTTTTGGTGCTGGCTTTGGTTTGGTTATTTTTTTTTTTTGGTTTTGGTTTGCTACCTCTATCAAGTTGTGTAATGTGGACGCTTAGGAGGTTGCCAACCAGTTTTTCTTCTTCCCCGGCCAAAGTCACCGAGCTGCAGCTGGGGCCCCGCAGACTTGGCTTAACCATTTGTTTCGAAAAATCATTAGGCACGCCAAAATGAAAGTGTGAACAGAGGAGCTGCTCTGACTTTCTTTGCCGGCCAGGCGATGATTTGGATTTTGGATGGGTAACGAGCGGCCAGCAGTAGTTCACCTGAGAATGAGTCAGTGCACTTCTGTAATGGTAATAAAAACAAAAAGCATGACTAACAATTGCCCTGCCAGCTCAACTAGCTCAAGCCATTCATTTCGCTATGATAAGAGATCTTAATAAATATTTATCAAGTCTACAATCAACATTTACCATCACATGCATTTAAAAAAAAAAATTACATTTGTTCTAAATGTAAGAAAGAATTTAAAAAAATATGTAATTTCATACAAATATTTTAGTTATAACAATAAAAGGTTATTACATTTTCTGGGAATTATTTTTAGTAGGACCTAAAGTATATATTATTTTAGGATTAAACAGTGTATTTTTAAAATTATTTCTATGTATTGAAAGGTTATTTAACAATCACAGTTAGGTAGTGGCTAATTTTTTCCAGTGTGCCTTTGATATCTCTAAGATTTATGTACCGACATTCTTTTAAAGAACCTTTCTCTTTTCCCCTTGCAGACTCTTCGGTTCGCTGCCGAAATACACACAGCATCTATTAGTTTTACTGTTCGGCACATTCCGGGTCATCGCGAGCAATGCGGCCCACGCCTCCACAGGAATGACCAGTGAGGCGTTGGGCGTGTCCGTGGCCCCCAGTTTCTTTCAGTCCTGCGTGAGCGATGGCAAGACCGCTCGCATGGAGGATGTGCTCAAGTTCAAGGTGAGTTTGTGGTCCATTTTATATTGAAGAATGATTTTTGAAATGTATTTCCTTTGTTTTTTTTAGGTCTCTACCAAGATCATGCAGAATATAATTGATAAGTTTGCCACACACGACATCTTTGGGCGAGACAATTACGAGTACTACGCCCGCGTCACAGGACGCATTCTCAAGGTGCAGGACGAGTGGATATGCAGCTTTCAATATCCACCACCGCCACGTGGCAAGTTGGCTCAACAGAAATACGCATGTGAGTGATATATCTCGGTATTATTAATGCTTTAGTTAGGATTAATTTAAAATAGACCAATTCAACGTGCATAACCTTTATTGGGTTAAGTTAGAAGACATTAAATTAACTAAGTGCAGGTAACAAAGCTCTCCCCTAATTGGACTGCACTTAAAAATCCAAATTGTTCATGAATCATTAAGAAGTTGACTCATTCTGTCTGCCTAGCTTGTCCTTAATCGATATATTGATTGGTAAAATTTCACAGGCCAACAGTGTTTTTGGTGCAGCCCTATGGGCATTAAATTGTGTTAATATAGACGGATATAAGCATATCTGCATACTTAGTTTTCGAGTTTAACGGGTGGTATTTGTGCAATCGCGGTTTGAAAAAAGTAGCAACATTTTATATTTTCATTTAAGATATCTTCGAGGGTCTGTGCTCAGTTGTAATAAAACCTATGCCAAAAAATTGCTTAGATGCCCTTCTACATAATTGCATTTAAGGTTCCATCATTATTTGAGTTAATAAAAGCCTATAAGCCATTGAAGTAATTTGTTCACCTCTATTTACAACCAACTTGATGCGGTGAACAGGCTTAAAAAAATACAAGGAAAAATATACGCCCTAAAATATTTTACAGGCATCTAGAGGCGTCTTTTCCCGAATTTTTGAGATAAATCCCACTATTGTACTTCGAAAAATGGAATTTATAGAATTTTTTCCGTAAGAATGGGAAAAGTAACAAGTATTTTAGAGTCACTCTTACGTAACGAGTTTGTCGTGATTTTACACAGTAGGCTTTGTAAAGATAACAGTGGCGTCGCCTTAAAATTGTGGTGGGGATTTTTTTAAGGCATATTAACCCCTTAAAAATATAATTTGTCTATGTTCGGCGCCTACTGCCAACCAAATTGAAAGGCAAATTTTTACGAATGTGTCAGATATTTATGTAAAATGGGATTTAAAAATAGTTGTTACTTTTTAAGTTCTTACGGAAAAAATTCTATAAATTCCATCCTTCGACGTACAATGGTCTTATTTGTCTTAAAAATTCGGTAAAAGACGCCTCTAGATGCCTGTAAAATATTTTAGGGCATATATTTTTCCTTGTATTTTTTTAAGCGTGTTCGCCGCATTAAGTTGGTTGGGAATAGAGGTGAACAAATTACTTCAATGGCTCATAGGCTGTGATTGACTCAAATTATGATGGAACCTTAAGTGCAATAATGTAGAAGGGCATCTAAGCAATTTCTTGGCATAGGTATTATTACAACTGAGCACAGACCCTCGAAGATATCTTAAATCAAAAAATTAAACGTTGCTATTTTTTTCAAACCGCGATTGCCCAAATACCACCCGTTAAACGCGAAAACTAAGTATGCAGATATGCTTATATACGTCTATATTAACATGTTTTAATGCCAATAAGCCTGCACCTTTTAATAAAGTCCATTTTGTTGACCTGTGTTATTCTCCCAACCCGGTCTTCAATATAGAACTCAAAGCATTCGAAATTCCTCTGGCTAATAACTTTTTATCGCTTTCCCCGCAGTGCAACATTCTTTGGAGGCGGAGAAGACCTGGCTGCAGTGCCAATGCGAGCGTTGGGGCTTACGTGAGTACCTGATAAGTGTTTACCTATCCGTAGATATAGCTAGAAGAATCATACTCTCTATTGTGCTTTGCTTCTGGAAATCCCCACCTCTATTTACGCCACACTGTCCGATCTAACTTCTGTCTGTGTGGGGGAATGTGATCTACAAACATGTATCCAATATCTGATAAGCTCATCTTTGGTCATCTGGTGTCCCGAAGAGATAGCCCCCACCCGCACTGCACCACCCCATTCTCTAGCTTTTTGCTGCATGCCCAGTAGTTGTTTGTGTACCCTCTCATTTTGACGAGTCATCCATCCAATGCATTTGTTATAACCCACTGCCGACCTGATTTAGTGGCCCAGGAGGAGTCCCGCTCGACGCCCGCCCTGCTGACCAGCTCCAGTTCGGCGCTGGAGAACAGTGTCCTCTCGCTGGGAGTTTCGCCGGAGCACTCGTTCATCGAGAGCTGTGCCCGTCTCTCGGTTTCGCTGGAGGGACCCGGCATCTACGCCATGACTTCCTCCCCGCTGCCGGCGAAGAGAAATGGGAATGGCAATGGCAATGGCAATGCCACGGACTACGACTACGATGACTATGCCGACGACGATGAGGATAACGATGAGCTGGACGGTGTCCATGACTTTGGTGCCGAATTGGAGATCAGCAGCATAGCGCCGCCGCAGGGAAGTCGGGGCATCTATCGCCACAAGCAGAGAGCCCAGCAGCCGCATCACTACCAACAGCACCAGCAGCAGGTGCAGCTGCAGCAACAGCGGGACTACGAGGATGACGACGACGAGGATGAGGATGAGATGACCTTTGTCAAGCGGCGCTATCGGCAGAACAAAAAGAAGCCGGCGCCGCCGAGTAGCAGTCATCATCAGAGGCGACTGCGCACGGGCACCAAGAGCCTCGATGGCGGAGGAGAAAGGCGTACGGGATCGGGATCGGTATCGGGAGCAGCTGGAGGATCAGGAGGAGCTGCACCAGCTGCTAATCCCACGCCCCCTAAGCTCAAGCAGCGAACCTGCAGCCGCTGCAATCGGGGCATACGACACAGCAGCTCCTGCAGCTCCAATTCGGCTGGGGCAACTGGCTCAAACAATGGAGGAGGATCGGGAAACGGAAACGGAGGTGGAGCCGAGGGCGGCATGACCATGGAGGAGCTGAGGGCCGTCAACCGATATGCGGAGAGCACCAAGAGCCTCTCGTATCTGCCACAGGTGAGGGACGAGTTCTTGCTGGGCTCACGCATTTCCGTTTGAGAGTAGAACGTACCATCTATTTAGATATCCTAGGTCTAACCCCTTTGCAAATGCTCGAATTTCTTTTAAGTTCTGGTTTCTTTTTTCCAGGAAATGAAAAAGAATCAAGAACCAAGAATATATTAGTTTTTAAGCTACCTTCTTTATTTCTTCCATTTTCTGTTGCGAATTTTTGATTTATTGTAATTGAACCTTATGTAATACCTTAATTTAATTTCTTTTGTTTCTTGTGTTTGAGTTTTGTCAATTGGAAATGATGTTATCCCCTCTAATCTCTCTACTATCACTCACTACTACTTTGACTCTCTTCTAACTCGAATCACTTTGCGAAATGCTCAAAATTGTTTCATTTTTGGAAATGTTTGCCTAGTTTTTTCTAATATTTTCATAATCTAACCAAACAATTTGAGCCTGCCAACGAAAAACAACTACTACTTACACAACAACAACAACAATCAACAACACATTTTATATAATTGTACGACATAAGAAATTGAAGAATCAACGCCCTCACACCCCTTACACCCCTAAAACTGTACAAAAAGTACGAAAATAATCAACATACTTCACCAAAACTCTGTACAAAAAAGGACTAAAAACGGAGCATAAAGATTAATTTATATTTTTATTTTACATATTGTGTTTAAATTATAATTTCATTTTTAATTTTGGTTCAAACTTCTCTTACAAAGAAAAACCGAAACAAAAACATTTCAAACGAGAACAACAAAATGTTAAACCATTTCAACAAAAACATGAAAACCTTTATAAATACATTTTCTATGCCCAAAGACCTATTTTCACTAAATAAAAAACGAGTGCTATATATTGTTGCAACAAAATAAAACTAAACACCAAATTGCGTATTTAATAATCGAAAAGCTTGGGAGTGACAAATCTGTAAGCAATAAGATAACTTTTTTTGTTATAAATTTTATATAAGTTTGAATTTAAAAATATTGGAGGTGTAAATATTGTTTAGAAATACGGGAGTATTTGATAGTGATCGGAAATAACATTGGATTAGTTATTTTGGGTAAAAAAACAGTTGATATTTTTTTTAAATTTTGATCGAATATTTATCGACTGTCATCAGTTATGCAAATTAACAAGAATAACGATTTTACGGATCCGTGGATTGTCTTCCTAATCCATCTTTTATGGACCCAAAAACACTTGGATCAATTATCGCAGAAGTATACAAATCTTTTCAAAACTCTTGACACCGTATATAAATGTAGTTATCTTTAGATGTAGCACACCATGTACAACTTAAATATTATTTATTTAATAATCTCAGTCTTATCATTTGCTGTAAAAAAAGTGGCATATCAGAAAAAACTAGAACATTGTGTATTATAAGCTACCGATATAATTTCATTTGATTTTGTTGTAATCGTTACTCTGTAATATATTTTTAGAACCCTAAGCTACCCATGAACTGTGCACCATTTTGATTTATTGTCGCTTGTTTGTCTTGTCTATGTAGCATAGAAGCCTTTGTCTTGCCTGTCTTGTCTCTAAGTTGTTTGCTGCACTCCGCATAAATGTATGTAGTTAATACTTAACCAAATAACATTTAGTCTATAAGCAAAACGAGAAAACACAAAAATGCGAACACATAATCATGCAAATACTACAAAACACGAGCCAAAAAAACCCAAAATTGCATTTGTAATTAATCTTATTTTTGGCGGATTTAATTCTTGACTGTTGTTTCCACCTCAAGATAAGCAATCAAAGCGCTTGTTGGCGGTTTTTTCACTGAATGTTTCTACCTAATTATAACGTGCTTGTTTCGAATATTCGGGGTATTCATGGTAAAGTTAAGCCGGACTAAGGATCTTCTTCTGTATCTCTAAAATAATTTTATGGTGAATACCCTATAATATTCTCACCATCATTTTGTATAATCTTGCACCTTTTCCACTGCGCTGATTTTGCTGAATTTTATATATCACTAAAACATTACATTTTATTTTGTGACCTTTTGTTTGTTTCAATATTTTGATTTTGCCTTTTACATTTTTTAAATTAAGTAAATCAAGCAAAAAATACAGCTAGCTAAATCGAAAATTTCAATTGCCAAAAACTCTAATGCGAAAATTTTGAATCCCCCCCCGTCTTTCCACCAACAACAACAACTACACTACGACAACAACAACCAACCAACAACAAATAAATAATTGCAATGCTGAAAACATGTGTACGAAATGGGAAAATGTGTTAGGTCCATGAACGCCAAACCGCACGCATGCGCACCCGCTCCGAATGGTTCCTGGGTCCCCGGGATGCGGTGGTCACGTTGCAATTGCCGGCAGACACGTGCAGCAATTGCTGTTTGGCCGCTGCCGCTGGATATTTGGGAGGCGGCAGCACGAGGGACATGCGGCAGGCGCAAACGGACGGAGAACGGAGCCAGGCGGCGTTGCTCTATCACTTTTATCGCAGGCAGCAGCAGCAGCAGCAACAACAGCAGCAGCAACTGGAGCAACGCTTCGAGGACATGATGGACACCGAGGATAGCTATGGACAGCAGAAGGAGCAACAGCAGCAGGAGCAGCAACAGATACATTCCAAGGGTCTACTGAGACCACCGCCCATGCAACATCAACAGCAACAGCAGCAACGTCGCCTGCTGCTGGACGTCAATTCGGGTACTTATAATGCCGGACTAACTACGCTCACCACCAACAACAACAACAACACTAATTTCGGCGACGATCTGGCCAACTATCTACACGAACCGCTCGGCAATTCATGCTACTACTCCAGTCAATGCTTGAACCGGCTGCAGCCTGTTGTAGTTGTACGCGAGGAGCAACTGGCGGAGGTCACCAGCGATAGCGATGGCGATTCCCTGGATGGCGGTGGCCCACACACTCTGATGGCCCACGAGTTGCAACATCATGTGGAGCCCAGGCAGGCGGCCATGTTGCTGCTGCGGCACTCAACGCCACGGCAGCAACATCGCAGCAGCAACGCCTCATCGTTGTATCAATCATTCGAGGTGACCTCCGGCAATGTGCCCCAAGACAACAACAACAGGAGCGGCCACAGCAATAGCAACAATAACCACCACAACAACAACAACTTTGCCACAGTCATTTTCAATGTTTTGGACTTTTTATTTTGATCAAAAAAAAAAAAAAGAAAAGAAAACGCAGCGGTTAAAGCGCGCTGAAAAATCGGAATGAAATGTCTTGTGTTTTGTAGCTACCAATTGCATCCAATCATAAATTTTGCTTATGTCCAACTAATGCTAAACATACCTAATTTTAAGATTTTAATTTATTTTCGTTTTGTTAAAAGGAATACAAAGTGTTTATCATGCCTAAGTATTAAGATGTATTTGTGAAAAGGGAAGACCCAATCTAATTTTAATTCCCTTAACCAAGCATGATAGGCCAAGATTTCCTTGTCGCCACCACCAAGCCCATCGGCATTTTGTTAAACTTACCCTTTAATTTGTATTATTTTTGATATAGCTATTTATTTGTATTGTGTACTTTGCTCTCATTTATCCTTTTATTATTTTGCTTTACAATAATAAACTTTATTATTTATTTATACTGTGTATAACCAAATCCAAAAGATGTCGAAAGCTTTTTGTGTTGTTTTTTGTGTGTTTACACTCGATACACCCAGACATGTGATACATGCATAATTACGTGTGTTGTACTTTGTTGTTGTTTGATTTTGCGTACTAACCCCGAGTTTTGTGTGTTTTGTCCACATTTTGTACATTTATTTGTTAACCTTATTGTGCGTTGTTGTCGTCGGAACGCCCACAAAGACGGCCAGCAGCTGCAACAACCGTAGTAAGCCATCATATAACATCAAGAAAGCGACTCAACCACAAACCAACACCAACATTTATTTGCCACTCCAAGACCAGACCTCCAATTGAATCAAAGTAACTCATCAGCAATATATTATTTCTCCTCTCTTTTTCTTTGCCCTGTTTTATGTCCGAACCCGATTTTAGTTGGCAACATCCGTTTGAGTAACAGCGCCGAGTCCATTCAGTATGCGGCCCGACGACCGGTCGCCAGTCTTGGCCTTAATCCCGGCCTTGGAGGCGCCACCAACACCACCCACAATCCCACCACCCGGCGGCTGCTCATCAATGTGCCCCGGCAGTATCGATCCTCGCTGCGGCGGAACAAGGAGAAGCAGATCGGCGGCAATAGTCAGAGCAACAGTAGCAATAGCCTGGGCAGTGATCAGTTGACCGGAAATCCTGGATCAGTTGGAGGATCGGCCGGCGGGATCGGTGTTCCGGTGCTGAACAAACCCCTGCTGATGGTGGGTCTACTGCCGGGTGCCGAGCAGCCGCCGTCGGTGAGGAACTCCATTGCCGAGTGCGGCATCTCAACACCAGATGCCATGGATGTGGGCGTGGAGTGCAGCACCACGCTGAGCTTCAAGCCGCCGCGGCTGTAACATGGACAACAGCCCATTGAAACGAAAACTGAGGACACCCAGGACACAGCGGACTATGTTAAGATCTAACCATTTTTAAATGAAAATCATTTTTAATACGTATACTTCCAACACAAAAACACACACAAAAAACGGGGCAAACGAAGAAATTTCTGGAGATTAAAATAAAGCTGGTTGTAAACGATGCAGCGGCTACAATCCATTGCTACTTAGAATATCATATTATGCAGCTGCTGATTTTTTACAGCTAGTTTTTTATTTGTAACTCATCGAGAACAATGTTAAATCTCTAGAAATTCCCCTGACACCCCAAATAACATCATATATTAGGTTATGGTAAACGATATATGTATTTAATGTGTATAGCAAGAAAAGGCTGATTTTCTTTAGTTAAACAAACAAAACAAAAAACATGAGAAAGGAACGAATGAAAATAACAAAAATGTACAACTGAAACAAACTATGTAAAGCAACAAATTGCCAAATTTTATTCAGCATTCATTTCGTTGTGTGATTTAGGTTGATTTTAATTATGTTTTAGCCAAGAATCTCTTAAACTTGAGCATTGTCAAGATTAAAATAAACGAAACTTTCACCTGATCGCAAACCGAAACAACGATACAAAAAGCAGAAGAATTTCTCAACTGTGTAGCATCTGAACAATCCAACCAATCGATTTCGAGGCCGACTCTCTGTCTTTATAAGATCCATTATAAATGTTACTTCTAAGCTATTCAAATTTATACTGTTCGAATGAATGCAGCTCTTTAAATGCAATCATAGACCCAATTACAGATATACATTCATTTTTGATACAGTCAAGTACAAAAGCAAAACTAAACAGAAACCAATCGAAAATATCTAATATAAATTCTACATTATTCTTACAAAGATAAAAACAACAACTTAGCATTTAATATATAGTTAAGCGTTTTCAAATTATACGTGTAATTGCGAACGGAAATCAATTTGTGAATCGGATGTTATTTAAATGATGTTATCGTTAATAGTGCTATGTGTCCAAGATATATCTAATACGTATATTTACTACACGATATGCGAAAACAGCCCTTCTCGCGGGGAATCAGGACTACCAAACGACAGCTTAAACGAGATAATTCCATTTTATATATCAATTTATCTAGAGAAGCCTCTACGACTACTTTTTGATAGTTCCAATCCAAGTATATGGTCTGCAGAAGGTCCCTTTGAACCCTACCCAGATCGATTTCCACTGCCCCGCTACTAAAGAGAGTTCTGTTTCCCCTTCACCCCAGACTTGGAGATTTTTCAGCTTTAATTGAAAAATTCTTTGCGAAGTTAGAGAACGAAACAATTTCCTCGCTGTGTAATGCATAACTTGGTGTGTTTGTTAAATTGAATTTAAATAAATAAATAATCTGAATGTTAGCTTAGGAAATAAAACGAATGTAAAAGAAAACCACTTCTTTGGCCATTTCATACGTAGTATGAAACGCATCCATTAAATATTAAAAATTAGTTTATAAAGCTCAGAATGTTGCCCAGAACATAGCAATGAATAATTAAAAAAAACACCAATTTGTTGATTAGCAAAAAAAAATACTTTATTGTATCGACATCATTTTTATTGCTGTATATGATAGGCTATAAGCTATAAAATATATAATTGTATAAATCTTACAGAGTACGAGTTCGAGTGAAGTACATTCATTAGCCACTAAAATACTATTACATAAATATAAATCGTATTGTAAATGATGACGGAAAGGTTATAGATATACGCTATATTTAGTGAGCAGGATCTGTTCCATACAATTTCAAGTGTAAAATGCATTTCGAATACATTTTTCAAATATTTTTAATCGAATTTTATTATTTTTCCGAGACATTTTCCATTTTGTGAAAGTTACACTTTAAGAAATTCTGTATAAAAAAAGGAAGAGAAAAGAATCATACATATAATGTAACTAATTATTGAATGGAAAAAATAAATAATTAAATTGCAAAATCTAAAAGGGCGGTTCTGGCTTAAGTTCTCTTAACGGCTAATCTTACGAACACATATTTGGTCAGGTTTTGTGGGCGCGTTTAAGCCTCAAATTGATCTGACAAGTAACTGTGAGATTCCAAAAATATTGATTTCCTGGCTTCTAAAAGTTGGTTTTAATTTCCTTAGTAGTATCAATTTATACGCTACATTCGGATTTTGGAGTATAAAACTTTGGGTTTTTAATACTCAGCCATGAAATATGCCTCTTAAGTTACTTGTCAGTTTATGGGGCTTTAACCAATAGCTTAATTGTACAGAGCTCTGTCCACTAAAATGCCATGCTCGATGAGAAAACTCTCGACATCGGAGGCGAAGAAGTCGTCGCTGAGGTCGTCGGTTAGCCGCACAAAGTTCCCTATGACCGCCTGGGCCTTATAAACCAGGAGCGCTGGCAATCCCTTGGTGCGGAAATCCCGACTCATTCCGGCCACAGAGCTGCAGATCTTGGCGAACTTGATGGACGGATAGTCGCTGGCCAGGCTGTCCAGGCATTTGTTCAGGGTGGCACAGGCGGCCAGCTGGCGTTCGTAGATGTGGATGATGATGGTGGTGTGCTTGTTCTCCTCCTCCACGCAGGCCAGGAACTCCCCGTGGCTGGTCAACTGCTGCACCTTTCCGAACTGCTGGTGGTGCCCCATCTGCCGGAGCATCTCGGCCATCCGCTGTTTCTGGTACTGCTGCAGGAACTCCTCGCTCATCAGCTCATCCAGCTCGGCGTCCAGCTCCTCCTGCCGCTTGCGCTCCTCATCCTCCGCCGAGGTGGCCGTGGTAATGGTGAGCTTCTTGGCCAGCGCCAGACGCTGGCGCTCCGTCTCGTCCCGGCGCTCCGCCTCCAGCTGCTTGAATCGCTGCCAGTCCTTGACCACGCCCTTGGGACCCGTGTTCGTGGAGCCCTGCTGCTGCCGGTAGCCGCCAGCCGGAGTCGCATCCGGATTTGTGTCGACCGTCAGGCCGGAGGATCGGGACTTCCCGGAAGCCCCCTTCGAATCGTCACCCTCGTCGCCATTGTCCTCGCCCTCGCTGCTGCTGCAGTAGTACTCCAGCTTCTCGCCCAGTAACTTGTCCTCCAAAGTGGCCATGATTTGTAATAAGCGAGTTTTTCCTTTTAATTTACAATTTAATTAGTCTGATTAACCTGTCGGTATCGATAGGTCGATTACAATTAATGGCCTGCACTATCGATGGTTCAGTTTCGATAGTAAACGATAGCTGGCCATACTGTTCTTAGTATTTTTAAATGTTTTGTATTATTTACATTTTTTTAGTATGTAGTCCGCGAAATTCAAAACATTTTCCAAATTATCCTCAAAATTTAAAACAATTATTTTTCTAATACATAAAAAGTAATATTTATCTTGTTACAAACATTATTCCTTGCAACTACAAATCGTTTTTTATCCTTGTAATTTTTCAATGCGTATATTTTAGTACCTAGTTTTGTGCGTCTTTCGAATTACATTGAAAATGTCCCTGAGCTTTTCGGGCACAGCAAAGTCCGGCATTATTTGCTCCATGCTATTAAAGTCGGCCTTTTCCAGTTCGTCGCATGAATCATCCGATCCCGACTCATCAGCAAGGGCCAATCTCTCTGCGAAGGAGACTATTCCGCACCAGGCGCGGAAATCCAAGTCACCCGATCCATGTGACTCGTATCCCAACATTCTGAGAGTCCCTTGCACATTTTCCTCTGTTCCATGAAACTCCAACACATCCTCCAGAGCTTGCGGCAGGCTCTGCCAGACGAGGGTTCTTTCCCGGTATTTATATTCCGGCAGCTCATCGTTTCCCATTCCCATAACCGCCAACTCACTTTCCGGCTCCTCGATTCGACTTAGATATTTCAAAAACACTCTTTTATACAGCTGTTTTCTCTGTTGCGATACCCAGACGCACTTGCTCAAATAGTCCCATGGGGTCATATCTATTGGGATAATCGGATTAGGATTAAGTCCTTAAATATATATAGATTTACTGACTTTTCAACATGGAAAGATCCATGGGCACATCGAATCTCGTTGCTGATTTGGAAAATTTTCGCGGCATTTTAGACGTTGTTTCTGGGGGAACCTTATCTTCGGTGGGTTTTGGCACCGTTTTAGGTTTGGGTGGCATGTACTTGATGGCTTCTCGAAGCGCTCGATTTAGCTTAAGTGAATATAATATTCGTATTAATAAATGTGAAATCTTTAACTATCAGAATGTATTTATCTTACATATCTTCCAAATGTGTTTTCTATGAGATCCACATCCAAATCGGTTTTCAGGGCCTGAAAGGCTTCATCGGTGAGAAAACTTCCCTTCAAGAGGATGGGTTCTCGTTCAGTCTCCCTTTTATCCTTGGGCAGCAAGGTGAGTGAATTGGGTATCAAACTGGGTCTGGTACTGGGATTGAGTGAATCGGGGCCCAGAGCAGCCACCTGAGTCTCTGGATCCTCACTCAAGTGAAAAGTGGTGGTGGCTGTAATTTAGAAATAATAATAATAATTTTTTAAAAATTTAATTCAAAAGATAAAAGATATAAAGAGATCATCGCAATCATAAAATAGTATGAGTTCCAAAACTTCTCTTTCCATCTTTCTATAAATGCATATTTATTTTGTGAAACACTCTGTTAACCCTCTAGTGCCCAAGACCGCCTCCAGACGGGTAAGGTTAAAAACACCGTTATTTCAGTCTTTTCATTCCTTTTGACGCGGTTTTGCGTTTTTTCTAAAAAACAGTTTTTCTAAAACAAACATTCAATTTTGATATATGGGCAATTCTCTGCTGTTGCACGCGACGTTCGTACGCTTTGCAGGTGAAAAATACTATCTTCCAGTACTTCTTTTCCTTTGGCACTGGGCTCAAATTAAAGGTCTTGATTAGCACTAAAATATGTGCTAGGGGTGACATTGGGACATTTTTCATTTTTAAGATATATAAAAAAAACCAAGACTTTTGCACGCGACACGAATAGAAGTTACTTTTTTGACTTCCTGCCTAACTTTCGATTGTAACGAAACGTGAAGGAATATTTTAATGCAGTTAATTTCATAGTGTTCCTTGGTCTTTCTTCTTTAAAATGTATTTGGTTTGAATTCAAAATATTGAGTGGTTAATTTTTTACACGCTACATGTCGCACGCGACAGTTTTTTCCGTCATTTTCTTAGGTGGTTTTTCTGCAACCTTAACGTCAAAAAAACCGTTTAAGAGCCACTTTAAAAAATACTAAAAAAATACCAAAAAATGACTTTTTTGTCCATATAACCGGTATTACCCTGTAAAATTATCCAAGGATACTCATATTACTTAGCTTAGTTGAGGATCCATCTAACTAGAATCAAATATTAGTGCAAAATCATGTAGAAATATGTTTTTTTCAAGTTTTACGCTTTTTGGCTTGGTTGACATCCCCAGAGAATTGCCCATATAATGAATCCAAAAATAATTTTTTTTGGGAAAAGAAAATTTGGGCACTAGAGGGTTAAGAGTGGAAAACTAAGGGCCGTTTTCTCGTCCGCCTGGTAAATTTAAAGTACGGTTAAAACTCGGATTTCCCATACCATTTCAAGGTTTAACCTTACCTTGAATTTAACAAGCGGATGAGAAAACGGCCCTAAATATTTTAATTTTTAAATAAAAGGTTTACCCACCTTGAGCTGGTTTTAACTTCTTTCGTTTTTTGCCCCGACGCACATCCTCGTCGCTCAGTTCGTGTTCGTTGATGCAGGTTTTGGGCTTGGCCTCCTGATCACTGGTGGCATCTCCTCCTGGAGCCAAATTGGCCGTGGCCATTGAAGATTTGGGTCTCTGCTCATTGGAAGGCTGCCTCTTCGGCTTCTTGTCCTCGTTGGCACCCGCACTCTTGGGCTTCTTGTCCTCCTCCAAACCACTTTGGGTCAAATCCGAACTGGGTTTCCAGTAGAGAGTCTCTTGGGAGTGGGATCTTCTCAAGTCCAATATGATTTTCTTCCTCTTAATATTTTCGTGTTTTCCCCACTCTGGTGTTATGCATCGTCGATAGAAGGAGCCAGCACTGGTTCTTGTATGGATACTTGTTACCGTGGGAGTTGGCGTCATTGGTCGCGAATCCGTTTCTGCATATCGCCGGAACAGATCCTCCGGAATATTATCCGCCTCATGGGGTTGCAGTTCCGGCTCCTCGGGAATTTTGTCCTGCTTTCCGTGCTGCTGACTTTTGCCCTCAATCGCCAGCGATGTCTTCAGCTGATTGATCACGTCCTTAACCCCAGACGGAGCTGGATGATTGCAAAGCACCGAGCAACCCTTGGCAAAAGGATTAAAGAGCCCGCCAAAGGGGCGTAGCGAAAGGGGCATGGGCGTGGCCTCGAACTTGAGCGGCATTCGCGAAACATCGCCATGCTGATTCTTGCGCTATAAATATTAAATTAAATTACCTTAAAATCGTTTTCTTTTAATTATTTAAAAAAAGTGCAAATATTTAACAACTTTGACGTCTGTTAAATTCGTAAGAACTACAAAATAAATAGTCCATTTTAGCCATGTATCCTATTCATTTTTTGGTAAAGTTAAAGGGTGACATTATATTTGTAATTCAAAATAAACTTCACCTAAATTGGTTAAGCGCAACTTGAGATATAAATAAAAACACTCACATATCCCAGATTTATTCTTTAAATATGCTTTTTTAACGCCTCAAATATTTTTTTCTTACCTTTTTAAGATACTTGACATGCCTCTTGGGCGTGGGAACTAATCCTGTACGTGTTGTGGCGCTCATTGCTGCTAGTAAAATAAACTAAATAAATAAAATACCAAACATAACGACAAAAGCCGGGTTTGATATCCATAAACAATGTTCTCGGTTGCCATAGTTTTCAGCGGAGATCCCAGTATGTTTACGTGTCTTTATTGATTTTTATGATTTCTTTAGCTTAAACTATAATAATTCCAATTAAACAGGTACAAACTATGTACTACACATCCAAAAATTTCCATGAACCATTTCTAGTTTTCCATGATATTTGATATTTAAATTTCCCATTCAAACTGTTCGAGCATCTACTGCTTCCGAGGTATTCTAAAGAATACAAAAAACCGAAAAATAGTCCCCATTGTGAACCATTGCCCATGTCTTTCGAGACTCAAAGTTGGAACTCCCAAAACTTTCCGAATTTATCTGATTGAAACCCAAGTCTAAAAAACATTATTCTAAAAATGTTTCCTTTTTTTTTGGAATCTAACTTACTTTCGGTTTAAAGCGTTTTCATAGGATCATTTATTGCATTTATTATACCATAAAACTGTTTTTTTGGTTTTATTATCTAATTCCTGGGCCGATTCTGTCTCACAGGCAATTAAAAAAATGTAAAATGCAAAAAATGTTTTCAAATTGAAATAAGTCAATTAGAAACAATCATAAAATAACGTATGTTTATTGTGTCTGTGTCTTAAAACTAACAACTTTTGGGATATGAATAACGTAAGGAATACAATTTAGGAAGGAATAGTCAGGCAGTCGGTATGCTCAATTTTCGGTTCTCAGTAGAGGGAACCGCGATGATGCAAATGCCTTAGGCGTTGATCCAGCAACTGGCGTTCGTTGGACAGTGAAATAGTGGAAGTGGAACGATGCAGGGCGGGCAGGATGGTGGCTCCGGCGCCATGTCCATGTCCACCGTGACCTCCTGACCCGTGAATGGCCACACCCACCGCACCCTCCGATGGACCCATTCCGGCCGTATTCCCCACCGCCCGGGATCTGAGTAGATGATTCCTAAGCGGCGATTGCCGACGCACCGAATTGTTGAATGAGATCTGCAGGGAGAGTCGTTTCTGGGACAAGGAGGCCAGGTGTTCCGGTGACAATTCGATCACCTGGGGAGGAGCAGCCGCCGCCACTGCCATGGCAGCCGCTGTGGCGGCACTGTAACTGGGCAGCGAGGAGGTGGGCGAGGAGTTGCCGCAGTTGCAGGTGGTCGAGGCTATCGACACGTTGTCCGCCCCAGCCCCACCATCTGCCCCCGAAATGTTCGTCTCCACCAGGCTGTAGCCCACTGCCTGCTCCTTGCCGTTCTCGCACTCGAATATCTTGATGATGGGCACCACAGCGGGGGTCAGGATAATGCCCGCCTTGCGGAACTCCTCCAGGGCATCGTCGTAGGTGGGCAATCCGGACACAATCGTGTACGAGGGCAGCGACTCAGCCTCGTAGTCCGGCGGGCAGCGACGGCAGATCTCAATAGTCGGATCACTGTGATTGGCACGGTCTGAAAGGGTAAATAATGGAAAATCAGATAATCCGATTAGTACGTAGCGAAAAAAATTCCAACTGCAGGAGTGGCAGGTCTTAAATACTGTTTTAAAATAATAAAGGGAATACCAAAAATCAATTTTTATTGAAACGAAATATTTGTGTTAGTTGTAAAGTATTCCCTGACTTAATTGCACCATATTTGGTCCTTTTTAAGTTTATTATTATAATTATTATCAACAGAATTTATAAAAGTAAATTAAGAATATATATTTATGTTATTAAAATAGATCATATCACACTAGAAAAATGTTACTAATAATTAATTAATGCAATTTGTATAATTTTAATAACCATCTTAGCTATTTATTAAACTTTAAAAACACAGTTACAAAATGCAGTCAAAGTATTTATTGCTTTAAAATTATATTATTTATACGATGCTGCATTAAATTTATAAATTCATGCTGCAATAAAATGTAATATTTAATGTATTAAATTATTTTATAATAAATCTACTTTAAAACCCTAACATTTTTTTTAAGGATAAAGTTTATAGTTAAATTAAAAAATCACATTGTAGGCAGCTCAAGCGATAGTTATTTATTAAAAAGCTTTGCTGAATAATAGATAATACCTGTTTTTGTCTTTTTTCATACTCTTTCCCTTATTTTATTCCCCCAGATTCCTGCTCGCTACTTCCGGCAATCAAACGGGGAAAAAGAACAATCAGAATTATCAAATCAATTCCCCTTTGCTGCCCTTTGGGACTCGTACACGGCAGCAGCGGCACTTAAACCGCCCCCAAACCCTTCAAATGGTACCTTTAGTTTTTGGGGATGGTGCTGCGGATCTAAATGAAATTTTTATACGGATTGCTTGTTCGCTTAAAAGCTAGTAAAAAGCCCTAAAGGCGTCCAACTGCAAGCTGCGTCCCAACCCTTAAAAGTGGGCAACAGAAACATTTATTGCAATTGTCCAGCAGGCGGAGGCGAATAAATGTGGCTCCCGGGATGGGAGGCGACCTCGAATCTTCCCCCAGAAAAGGTGAGTCAGCAGCCCAATGATGGAGTACATGGAACTGTTGATGCGGCAAGCGTTTTCCCCGTGACGTGGTACAAGATTTTCAAGATTAGCCGCATGCTGGGTGGCTTTGGCAAATATTGAAAACGGCACACGCTTCGGTTCACACCCTTTTTTGGATACTTTCGGGGATTTAAAGCCTGCGGGTCGACATTTTCCGACATTTCACACCCACATGAATGGACGTTCATTTTTTATGCAACGCTTTGTGAGCTTACGAAATTAAATTGATGATGCCCAGAAGAAGAAAGCGGGCGGAATGAAAGTGAAAACTCATTTTTGGGTGGGGTTTTTCCGGCTTGGAGCCTGGCCATATGGCCATATAGACCACCCCGGGGAGCTGTCAGCCCCTGGGCTCCATTCCTCCGACAAGAGCTCAACGTGCTTAAGCCTTTTTGTAATTTTCAATTGACTTTAGTTAATTATGGGCCGGCTTACATCGAGCTTAACGTATGGCGCCAAGGGGCGTGACGCTCGTTTTAAGTCGGCTGGATACACTTTTGATTTTGAGACAGGTCGACAGGACTTGTAAAGTCCTTATTTAAGTTTCAGTTAATACAACTCAAAGGGATTATTTTGAAGGCAATTAAAACCCAGTAATGAAAGGAAAACTGATTTTGTTTTAAAAATTAATGATCGAAAAAACCTTAAAGAAATTATCAAAAACTTTTTGAGGTTGTTGTTTCATTGTTTCATTGTTACTATTTAACTTATTTAAATTAATAAAATGTTAAAAAAACTGCTTTTGTTTTTAATAAATAAAATTAATTTTTCTATGATTTTAGTTAAAACTTTATAAACTTGTTAAGTACCAAAATAATTAAAAAATAGTGTACCTATTTAAAATAAAAATTCAGGAATAAGATCAATTTTTAGTAATTAACTTTGTCAATTAACATTAACCATTTCTTAGGCAACTTTTATAAAAGGTGACCTCTAGATTTACTTTAAGATGGATCTTCCTTAGTTCATGTGGCCAATCCGCACTCGACCATAAACTGTTCATCCCCAAACGAAAAGGACGCTACTCGACATGGCCACAACTACTACTTGGCTTGATGAACTGTCTGGTTCTCGGTCTGGGCCCATAATCCAAAGCCCCGGGACATACGCATTCAATTCCCCAAACGCAGCTTAGCACGACAATAAAATGAAGTGCAGCGCATAAAAAAGCGAAAGCCGCTTGGCAGATGAAACGAAAATAAACAAAGCCCAAAGTGTAAGTGCGTTGTGCATAAAATATTCGCCACAAGTTATAAGCCAGCAGCAAAATGGACACCGAAATTTCCAACTACCATAGTCAATATGCCAAAGGTCGTGAAAGCTTCAAAGCATCCCCAACAAAAACTTGCTTAGCATCGGGATTGGAACTAAAGCTACACCGAAAATAATCTAGATTACTTATTAGATCAATTACGTACTTATATTAATTTTATAAAATAAGTTCAAAACTTGCAAAAATGTATATAAAAAACTAAACGTAAATTTAGATAAATATACTTTTTTGGAAAACTATTTAAGTAGTATTTATTAGGATTTTCTATACAACGCGTCAATTCAAAAGTATCCTTATATTCTCCTTAAAATTTATTTTCGTGTAAGTACAGAGAATCTTCACCTAAGGCAAGCCAGAGATATTTGGGCGTTCTCACAATAACAAAAAAAAAGTTAAACACACTTTATGTTGGGGCTTCGCTTTCGAGTTTTGGGGGTCTCAAACGGAGCTGGATGAAACGCCGGATGTGGGTGAGTGGGCGCTGTGCGTTTTGTGGATTTGGGCGCCAAACCACCAAGGCAGAAAAAAGAAAACAAACGACATACAGCTCAAGCAACCAAAAGTGACGTGCCCAGGAAGAGGACGATGGAAATGGCGATGGCAATGGCGACATGCCTGCCAGAAGACTGAAAAAAATGGAAGAATTTGGAATGGGAAATTCTCTTCTTGGGTGTTAAGCACTGCAAGAAAAATTATATAAATATACGTAATTCATAAAATGCAGGCATACCTGCCAATCCAAAAATCACAGTATTTTAGCAGTAATTTATTTAGCTGTGTTTTTCATTGGAATATAAATATAGATAGATTTATATAAATATAGATAGATATTTATGTCAGCATTTTGAAAAAAAAATTATTGAATTTAAAAATTCCTATGTCTGTTAACCAATTTTAAAATTATTTTTTTACTTATGCTTATTGTTTCTATAATAATATTTTATCAATTACAAACCTAATGATAAATAATTGCTAATATACAAGATTAATTCATTTTATTAACAGATTAATTATTTTTATTTAACTACGTTGTTTTTAATTTACTTCCGTTAATGAATATTTATTTATTTTATTTATTTTTTAGATACCCGTTACTCAGCTAAAGGGAGTGCGAAGGAGATGGAGAAAAACTTTGATCCGCCGTAACTTTTTAACGAATGGTCCGATTTAAAAAATTTCTTCTACATTTCGATAGGTATTGATAAACACAATAAAACTGCATTTTTACTTTTCCAAAATATTGAAATTTTTAAAATCGTATATAAGCGATTGTGGGCGTTAGAGGGGGCGTGGCACCCTTTTGAAACAAACTTGCGCTGCGTAGGAACTCCTAGAATCTGCATGCAAAATGTCAATCTTCTAGCTTTTATAGTTTCCGAGATCTCAGCGTTCATACAGACAGACAGACGGCACCCAGAAAACAAAATGGACTAAAAAGGGGCCTAATTACCTAAAATTTTAGGAAATATGGCCAGAAAAACGCGCCAAGGCCATGCATTACCTAAAATGTTGTCCATGTGGACTATATTTTGTACGCAGTCTTGAATTTATTTCTGGTAATGGTTACCTAAAAAAATGGCTAGTGGGCTAGATTTTTAGGTCAGAATTACCTAAATATTAGGTATTTAAAAAAAGCTAGGATTTTTACTATTGATAGTAACATATTTGATTATTTTAATTGCTTATATTGTATTATTCGGAAAAGCAAATATTTTATCTTTCTGAAAAAACAATCACTTTATTTTGTCCTCGGTGGGAATCGATCCCGGGTCTTCTGCGCGAGAGTCCAATAGGCTAGCCTCTGGTCTACGGAACTACTTAAAGGCCCTGCGGCAAAACCAAAGCCTGCTTCAAGGGGCTCAGGCGAATTCTATTTTTAGAATAGGGCACTATTACCTTAAAAGTAGGAAAATAGTCCACGTAGGTATTGATTTTATATATTGAAACTTTTCCATCACTAGCTTTAAGAAAAGTCTAAAAAATTTTTTAACATTAAACTTAAAAAACCGAATAATTTGTTTATTAATATTAGGGACCAATATTTGTATTAAGTTGTGAGTGATAATCGACTTTAAATTATTCCTAAATTTTAGGTCTTATGGACCAATTTGAAGGTTACGATGGCCTATAAAAATCTCTTTAGCTTTACCTAAAAAGTAGGAACATAGTCCACATGCTAATATTTTTAGGTAACCCATTACCTAAATCTGAAATTTTAGTCTATTTAAATTTTTTAGGTCATACGTTACCTAAAAAATAGTCCCACATTTCTCTGGGTGGGACATGGCTAGATCGACTCGGCTAGTGATCCTGATCAAGAATATATATACTTTATTTGGTCGGAAACGCTCCCTTCTACCAGTTACATACTTTTGCACGAATCTAATATCAAATAAAAACACCTCTTAACGAGGTAAAAAACTAGTGACGACCGCACCTTCAACATACAAAAGTTCTGATATCAACATTTGTGACGAAAAATTATTACACTCGTCATTAAATAGACTTTCTAATCTTTTCTCATTCGGCCCGCCCTAGCAAACTATTCCAGCCTTTTTCCCTTTACAGGCATTTTCTATTGCAGCGTGACGAATGAGAAAAGATTAGAAAGTCTATTTAATGACGAGTGTAATAATTTTTCGTCACAAATGTTGATA